AAAAAAAAATCAATAAATAGATGATCAGAATAGCTGATTGATTAATTAGCTGACACCCGATCGATTAACTTTTTAATTTAAAGATGATCTAAAGCCACAGCAGTCAAAACCGTTGATCACGTTTATTTAAAGTCGTGTAAATGAACAAACTAAAAGCCAGCATCTCATTATACACACATTATGACGGATTATCCATCACACACTGTCCTGATGTGACCTCTGAACAACACTCGATTAAAACCTCTTTTCTGCAGCAAACAATGATTTTCTCTCCGCGAGCATCACTTGTTGACCGAATGCACTGTTGGTGAAGTCAGACGCTGCTCCTTCTCCTTTGTCTGCGGCTAAATGAACCCATTGTGACGGACTTCATGTTTCCTGGTGTTGTTTTCAGATGAGCAGCCAGTACCAGCGCTCAGTACCACTGGAGGTGAGGAGAGCCGAGGGCGAGAGGGTCCGGGCCAAACATCCCGACAAGATACCGGTCAGTACGACGGACGGGTGCTTCTGTTCATAAAATGTCTTATTTGCAGTTTGTACGTTCACTTTGTTTGACAAAGTCAGTCAAAGCAGACTGTGCTCATCCAATCAGAGGCTACATCTCTTAAAATCATTTCAGTTTTAGATATCGGGACACGAACACGGTCGGTCTCGTTGTTAATATCGACTGTTTTTCCCTCCAGATCATCGTGGAGCGGGCCCAGAGGTCACGAGCTCCTGAACTGGACAAGAAGAAATACTTGGTGCCCTCAGATTTAACAGGTGAGACACACACAGATCGTACTCATGTTTCTGAAGTGTGGAAAAACCCCACGTATCATCTGAGAGTATTTAGAGACCAACTAAACTGTTTATGTGACATTTTAGTCATTAGTCTGCCTGTTTCCTTGGAAAAACTGCGTCTAAATGAATTCAAAAGCTCCGTGGAACACACTGATAGCATCACATCGGCTCTAATGTTACCCAAACGTACGCTGTCTCAACATCGTGGTTCTGCTGTTACCACATTCCAAACAACCTCCTCTGCACAGTGATTAAAATAGTTCTCTGCTGGCTGCCCTTCATACTGAGGTACATGTAAAAACAGAACACTTCCATTACGTGAAATATTATTTTCCTTCACATAAAGGCTGCTTTAATAAATCTGCCAGCAGCGTCACATCAGATGATAGAAGATCTGGATATCTGAGGCTGTTCTGGAGAAAACACAACAAGTCACGGCACGTAGGGCTCCGCCTGCTGATGACAAAGGCAAGAAAGGAAAAGTAAAGGTGGCGAAATTCACCTGAAAACAAAGTGTTGTGGGATTGTTAACATTAGTCACGGCTGCGTGTCACTCCGAGGAGCTCAGGGTTCGCTGGAAACACGAGCTCAGTCATTATCGTTAATACCGTCTTAGTGTCTGTGACGAGTCAAAATGTCTTTCTGTGTTTTTATATAATCTAGGAATTGACTCGTCTTGTTTCTAGTCAGTGTTTCCATGTAGCTGTCAAGCAAAGACGAGAGTGAACAAAAAGCTGAATTAAATCTTCGTCTCACCTTATTTTAGCCTCTCAAACCTGTCAGGTCTGGAATCTATAAAACAAGAAACAACAGAACACCGACGTCATCTCAGTGATTTTTACATTTTTATTTTTTTCTTTGTTCTGTACACTTTTCTTCTGCTCGAGAATTATTGCAGCTGTGTTCTACATTAAATGTTTGAGCAGTTTGGGTCCAAATATAGACTCACTGTGTCGCTGCAGAGTGAAGATCAGATGATGAGATGAAGGATGCAGGATGAACATTTAGCAGCAGGTATTCATATAATATCTGAAGATGAAGTCAGGAAAATGAAGTTACACTTTATTGTCTTGTGCAAAATAAAAACAGACCTGAGAGGCTGATTTCAATCTCCCCACGTCATACCAGTCCTTCACCAGCAGGTGGCGCTGTTGCTGCGTTAGCCGCAATAAACAGAACAGAGAAGTTGGAACTGAATCAGGTTTTTTTTTTTTTTATTGCCGACAAATAAAAAACGAGCCAAAATTTGTCCATCTGCAGTCGGTCAGGTTGTGATGATTCTCTGGTGTCAGCCATGTTTGATGATGTCACAAACAGCTGATCAGTCATGTGACCTCAATGTTTACTTCATCAGAACTGTAGAATGTGTTTCCATCTCTCATCAGTAACTTGTTTTTGTGTTGTTGTTTTAAAGAAGCTGCATTTTCCTGTTAGTTTTTTGATGCAGTATCTCAAAAGGCTCATGAAAAGAAGCGCTGGTTCTGGTTCTGCCTGACGCCTGACCCAGTCTTTCATCTGAAGTGAAATGAAAGCTGCGGTGCATGACCCTCCCCTGACCATCTGTTGTCCTCCTTCCTGGTTTTCAGTGGGCCAGCTGTGCTTCCTGATCCGCCAGCGAGTGTCTCTGCGGCCGGAGGAAGCGCTCTTCTTCTTCGTCAACAACTCGCTGCCCCCGTCCAGCTCGCCGCTCTCCGCCGTCTACGAGGTAACGGCGTCCGTCCACACACGTCCACGTCAGGTTCACAGTTACACAAACAACACGACGCGTTAAAGCGTCTTCACACCTCGACCCGGTCGGATCCGCTCCACCGTCCGTTATCTCACAGACAGTCTGGCAGCAAATAGAAGAAGTGACCAGTGAAGTGAGACTGAGTCATTCTGAAACTGGAGTCCAGCAGCAGCAGCAGGACCTCATATCGGGTTCAGAACCAACATGTTGTGACGTTTATTTCCCCACATTGATCAAACTGAGGCAGTCGGTTCAGTCCCAGCCTGGATTCATGTCTTCCTGACAGGAGCTCTGCCTGTGTTGGTGTGTGCTCCTTTAAAATAGCCTGATGTGGTGCCATAAAGCAAACCTCAGCTCAATATTCACTGTAAAGAACAGAATAGAGACACTTTATTATTTCTTAGTTTATTTTTTATTTTTATTTTTTTAAATGTAATTTTCAATTAGTTTTATTTTTTTAAATTAAAACTTTCATTTTTATTTATTTATTTATTTATTAAATTTCTTTTGCATATTTCCTTTGCTTTAAAAGTGGCCTGATAAAAATGTAAAAATAAAATGATAATAATAATAATAATAATAATAATAATAATAATAATAATAATAATAATAATAAAATAATAACAACAATGAACAAAAAACAAAACAATTTTTAAAAAATTATTTTATTTATTTGTCTTTATATTTCTACTTTTAGTAGCTTTTTCTCTCATGGATTCATTTTTGATGAATATTGTCACATTATTTATTTTTCATTTTATTTATTCTTCTTGTTATTTCCACTTTTGTTTTATTATTATTTTGCTAATTTTTTTTGGCACTCCCACTACTTTATAGCAAACAACTGTATGAAACATAATATTAAAAACTCTTTATAAAGACATAAATTAAACAACAAGCACAGTGGATATTAACCACTTACTGCACTTCCTACAATAAAGAGGTGTTTATGTCTCTGCTCACGTCCACCTGTTGAACCGTCGTCCTCTGTGTTCTCGTAGAACTGAATCAAGTATGTTGGGTTCTCATCTGTTTGTCTTTGTGGCCGTTCAGGAGCACCATGAAGACGACCTGTTCCTCTACATGACCTACAGCAACGAGAGCGTCTACGGCGCCTGAGGAGGATCAAAAAGACTGGAGAGAGACGAGAGCGAGAGGGCGAGAGGAGGGACGGCTGACCGCAACGCTTCACACCACTTTACTCTCCACAACGTTGGTCCTGATGGAAGAGAAGCTTCGCCCGAGGCTCAGCCGGCGGCGGTTCTTACCTTTGGCAGTATTTCATTATGATTTAGTCTAAACTGTGTTAAACTGGGTGGAAGTTAAAAGAAGGCTTTGTGACGGGAGCTCTCAGCATCTTTCTCAGTCGTCTGTATTTAATGCAAATAGTATTTTTCTTTTTTTTTTTTTTGTAAATTATCGTAAACTTTTGTGGAAAATAAAGAAAATGCAAAAAATTCTGTTTGTTTGTTTTCTGTTTGTTTCCACCTGAAACCTGGAACTGTACACGTCAACTCTTCACTGCACCAGACCTTCCTGTCAGAGGTTAACGATGAGCCGGCGTTAACTCGTCCTGAGGCGGTTTCTGTCTTACATGTGGTTTAGAGGAAGGACAGCTCAGGAGAAATCTTAATGGGGAAGTATTCTGTCTTTATACACATCAGATGAGTCACTGAACTCTTTGTGGGTTTTTTTTTCTTTCTATTAAACAAAACAAAACCAACATTTTGACACGTTCGTCTGCCTGACCGGGAGGTTACATAAGCTCATTGTCAGCTCTGAGAGAGTCCGCGGGCAAAACGAAACTTAGGCAGGCAGAAAAAAAAGAGGCGCCATGGAGATGCAGGAGATCCGAGAGGAGCCGGAGAAAACCGCGGAGGACGAGGGAGCGACCGGGCCGGCGCCGGAGGTCAAAGCTGAAGGTGAGCGAGGAATTTAACCGGATGGTGAAAGTTGTTCAGGTTGTTCAGGAGGAGAAAAGTCATTCGGATGAGTTTAAAACATCCACTTGTCCTGATGTCTGTGTTTTTGCATTTTAGTTCAAAAAGTATTTTAAATTGCAGATGTTGTGTTTTTGGTGACATGTCTGTATTTTTGTCTGCAGAGGAAGCAGAACCAGACCACTACGCCAAGCTGCACAACCCGTCCGAAGACGTCTACTCAGAAAGCTACTACCAGCCGCTCAAAGCAGCAGCAGCAGCAGCAGCAGGTAGACAGAACACACGAGGAGCCAGGCAGGTTTATCTGAACAGGACAATTCATACCTGAGATAATTCAAATTAGTGACATTAAAAGCAAAGAGGCAGATAAAACCAATCCATAGAAACATAAATCTAATCATTAATTAGAAGAGGAACAGAACTGTTCTGAACTCTGGACTCTCATATTTCCAATTCACTGATTGATTCCAACCAACTCTTAGGTTGAAAATTTTAAAAAAAGAAGCAGAATTTAGCAGCAGCTCGTCCGTAGTTATTCATTTGTGGACATGAACTCTTGCAGATTTATGCTGAGAATTCAGAAAGCAGAGTTTCACAGAAAAGTGATTCAGCTCCTCTCCTCCAAAAACAAAAAGCAGAAGCAGAAAAGTTGCTCAGTTCAACCACAGATTGTGAGAAACTGTAATTTTCCACGTTCGGCTACAGTTTGAATATGAAAACTGATTCTGTGTATTTACAGCTTAGCATTAAATATATTGTAAAACAGGAAAAATATCTGTTTTTTAAATTAACGTGTGAATTATTCGGTAGATGTGACGTATTTATTCAGATCAATGAAAGAGAAACCTGCAAAGATTCTTATTCTTTCTTTCTTTTTTAATAGAAGATGAATTCATAATCACTCGTCTTGACAATTAATTTTCCATCTCTTGATTAATTTAACTCTTCAGCTCTTGTAGTCAGGAGTCATTTTTCTTAGAAGTTGCACCAAGTAAATAATAATAATAATAATAATATTAACTCCATTTTTCAGTGTTTCGTCATAAAAACAACGACAAAAACATGCAAAAGGCGTCAATAAAACGTCATAAGAGGCCTTAAAACGCATCTAAACTGTATTTAATGCTGCCGCTCACACATTTAAGTGACTCTAGATGATAAATGATGCGTTTGTTTGTTCTCCGTGCAGCTCATTCAGATGTTAATTAAACGTTCCAGCTGCTAAACCATAGAACACAAACCGGTTTATTTATAACTCCTGATAACATGGAAGTGAAAACACCTGAAGCAGGTTTCTGATCCGGCTCGTTTGCAGCAATATTCACGATCGGTTTGAGCTCTCTGACGAGGAATTCAACTAATTAACTTCTTTAAAAACAACAAAAACAACAAAGCATCCCAACGGCTGGAGGTGCAGGAGAGGAGCTTCTGGGTTCTCACATGCAGAAGGATTAAGATGAGTGACAGGAATCCTGATGACTTCCAGTCCTGAACGTCTGCACACGCTGTGACTCGTCGGCTGACTTTTATTTATCGCTTTCGTTTTGTTGCTTTGTTCAACAACAGAGAGTTTTTATTTTAACACACAAAAGCCAATAAAAGTAAAAGACAACATGTGAGTTTTTATTCTTTCTGTGAGTTTGTCTCTGTACAGAGGTGGATTAAAGTTTAAAAAAAAAAAACCCTAAAACGATAAAATAAACACATTTGACAGTTTATATTTTATCATTTTACATGAGCTCGTGTGTATTTTGGCTTTTTAATGACTACTGGGATTATTTGCACGTTTAAAACTATAAAACTTAGAGTTTATCACACGAGACATTTTAAAGTTTATGTCACACTTATTGTGAATTTTGCATTTTCTTATTGTTTACTTTTGCTTCCTGCACATTTTTGTTTATTTATCTTTATTTACGGTAACTTTACTCTTTACAACCAAACTTCTCCTCAGAGATGAATCAACTATTTCTGTTCTATCATATTTATATATTACAAACAGTATTTTACACTTTATTCAACGTTTTTTAATTTAACAAACACATTTGTTTGAAATGACAGAACCGAATTATCACTGATTGTGTCCATTTTATGTTATTTTTTTTAGAAATTTATCATTAAAGTATTAAACTTTATTTTTGTATTGAACAGTTCGTTATGTTTAATT